TTGGACGAGTGGAGCAAGGCCAATGACGCTAACGTTGCGGACCCAATGGTTATAGCGTTGCGGCGGGCAGCCTCCAATGGTGAGAAGGGAATTGCCAAACTCGTCCAGATGCGTGTAAGATTGGCCTGCGCGTGTAAGTCTGAGAGCCATTTTCTCGGCAGGGAAAGCATGCTGTGCAACCGGGATTTCATTGTTTTCCTACTTGGGCAATAGGGAGTCTACCGCGTTGAAATTTTGAGCTGTTGAGTTTTGCACCCGCTGCCTTTAACTCCAACGCAACCTACTGTTTCTCTAAGGTTCGCCGCAGTACGTCAGCTCCGTGAGAAACGGTATGTTTCCCTTTGCTCCAGCGGATAGTACTGTTCAAATCCTCAAAACAAAAGTGAATCGCTCGACACTTACGATAAAAACTCATGCGAGAACTTGCCGGGCGCTATCAATCGTGGTAAAAGCCAATTGATAAACATAAACAATACGAGGAGAAGACTACGAACGGAGGGAAGTTGAAACCGCTTTCGGCGCGGCCATATCTAGCCCTCCATTTGGCAGCGTGCCAGCCGAAGGGGTCCGACCGCGAAAATGGTGGAATGGTGGCACGAGTGATGGTATGACAACCAGCGCTCCTGCTCACTATTTCAGGCAGCTAAAAAACCTAATCGAATGTTACAACATTGACATAGTGCTATATACAAGAGAGCGGAAGAATATGTGAACTTCAGGCGACGGTTGGCAATTAGACAACAATCAAAGTTTGTACTTTTTATGACCTCTTTGATAGGCTAGGCAATAAATTTACTTTCATGTGTCTCCAGGGTGCTTTTCGCTCTTTTTGTCACGCAAGAACGTTCGCGGCATCTATGTGATCTTGTTTTTCAATCCGTAATAGAATACTTCGTTTACGTCTTGGAGACGCCATTTCCTTTTACAGACACGAATCCGCCCCGCCGGAAGAATCACTGTGAAGTTCTATAGAGCTCTAACTAAGCGGATTGTCTCGCTAACAAACCTCCAGCCCCCACGTCGCGAAGCCTCCGGATCAGCCAGATCCGAGGCGAATTTCGTTTTCCGCGCCAGTGATTTTTCCACCCCAAATGGCCTCTGATTCTTGAGCTGAAGTCGCTTTTGTTCAGCTGTTTCTTGCATGGAAAAGGCTTTGAAGCCGAAAATTTGCTTTCCTTAACTCGTGATAGAAATCTCACGGGATTTCCTTGGCAACAGATTCAATTTTAGATGAACTCAGCACTACTCTACCTATGCTGAATTTTGCGAAGTAAAACGATTCGCGAAAAAAAACCTAATCTTTATTATTTCTTCAAAATAGCAATATTATACTGTGCAGTTTTTTGACATAACAGCAACAAAATCTCATATAGTCGCAATTACACATGCGAAGATTGCGTAAACAATTTTTTAATCTCCTGCAATAGCTTACCATCAAGTAAACCAGGAGAAATCTGCACAAGAGAGCAATACCTACATAAAAAGGCTCAAAAATCTTATTAATCTCTACGCTTTGATATTTGATAATGACACCTGGCGGCATATTTGATAATGGCGTAAATCATAGCATGTTTGCCTCAAGCGATTAATCTTCGCAGTCGGTCTGATTGCGCAAAATAAAAAATATAGAAAATTTCACTTCAAAGTCGGGCAAAAAAATTTTACAGATATATTACCTGATCTGAGTTTATAGGTTTGAAGTAGCAAGTTTTCAGAACCATATTTTGACCAGACAATAGGAAACTGTGGAAAAAAATGTAGTTACTTCTATTTTGATTTTTTTTTTCGATTAAAATAGTGTACACTTCTAGATACGCAAAACACATACAATACTATCAAGCCAAAATCGGGTAACAAGTCTACACATTTCGCTTTTCCGAGAAAGGCTTGTAGAGTGGCAAATATAAAATTTCAACTGACTTCTGACTAGAAAATTTGTGGCCGAGTCAAGAGTGATTGTTGCTCTTATCATATTTGTTGCAAATTTTAAGGCAGTTTCTGGATGCGCAAAAGAATTCTATAGAAGAATTGGTGCATTTTTAGTGTAGTTTACCTATATTCATCGGTAGCATCTGTTTGGAACAACTTTGAAGGAAGATTTTATTCCTTTGCAAAATTGGGCACTTGATAATACCCACAAAATCTCAAAACCTTTTTCTATTTTTTGCTTTCCTACAAAGATATTGCGCCATTTTTGTCATTCCGAAGATGAATGTTTTCAAAACAATGCCAGGCTCTCACATAGCATGCTATTCATAATACTGCCCGACAATGATGGCTTTATCAAGGAATCTAGGAATTTGAACGATTTGTTGGAAATGCATGAATTCTTGAAAAATGGCTATTGTTCTATGTACGCAAGATTATTACCCAGTGCTTTGATTGCTATTTTTTTGTTATTTGGGTTTTTGAGATGTTTGTAGTCTTGATTTGTAGTTGTTGATGGTGAGGCTCTAGTTGAATCATTCGAAAAGCTTAGTAAGAGATCTTGGGAAGTAAATAATATTACACATACTACTAACTTTTGGGAAAAAACTATTGCGATAAAATTCCATCGCGACGTATTTAATAAATTCGCCGAAATGTTTTTTTAAGAGTAATTTTCAGAAGGTCTCGAGCACATTTTTCACCGCTGAGAATTTAGCGATTGAAAATTTCTTCCAAAGTTTTAAAAATGCTTTTAATTTACGCTGTCACGAAGTACATACTTGCATATTTATTTAATCTTCTGAAAATTACTCTAAAAACGAATTAGCATTCCGATGGCTTCGATACGATAGATACTATGAACATAAATATAAATACTATACTTCGCAACAAAAAATTTGCCTTCCGTTTTCTCCCAAGAATTGAAGGCGCATTTGTATATTTGCTTCCACATTTGACCTGTTTTGTTTGCTAGAACACTAGTCAAGAAATTGAAATTGGATATTCCATATCGAACACAGCGCCAAAACAATTGCCAGCCCTGAAAACTGCCATTTCAAAAAGCTCATTAAGTAATATCAGTACTAGTAAATTTTCGTGGCTTGTAAGTAAGCTGGATATCGTTTTTGAGACAAAAAGCAAAGGGGGTTTCGTTTTGGAGACGAAATTTGCGACGGTTATTTTCTTTTTTTGTAGAATTTTCTTTTTTTGGGAATTTTTTAGGTTAATGGCTTAGGGTCAAAGAGGACTTCGTAAAACTTTGGGAAAGTGAAGCGGAACTTCGTCTTTTGCATTTTCGAAAAGCCACTTCGTGGCGAGCCCTGCTAATAACTAGGGACGGGGTAGGAACTACGACTAAGCCTTTTACTCAGCTCCTGCAAAAAAGAAACAAACACCTGCTACATATTTGTCTTGTATTTTCATATTTCAATGATACAATTACAAGACTACATTTTTTCTGCAGAAAGAGGAAAATGAGCGAAAACATTTGAAAGCTCATGTAGTTCCTGATTATTCAATACAAGTATAAAAGTCAATATAGTTCAAAAAAGTGCAAAATGCTGTTAGGTGTATTGTCTGCGGTTTTGAGTAGCCTGTCAAAATCTTACCAAACAACATGCTATGATCAGTTGAAACATATGTTCTTCAAATTCTCAAATATCTTCCTCTATCCTGGAAACAAGTGTTTATGATGTCTGACCAGGTTTGAATTTTATTGATTTGTAATTTCAAATTAAGGGAAGATAATAAACTGAAAATGTTGGGCGATTTGAGGAGGTTTATAATTGAATCTACTTATTATTTTATAAAATTTGTTGACCTATTTTATTCATTAATTTATTTGTATCTAAAATGATTCTTAATTACCACTTTCAAATCCAAATTCTCTTCCGCAAATTTCCTCTTATTGTATGTACTTTTAGACACAAAGACAACAACATAGCTTTTCCAAGCGCATATTTTTGACAAATTTTTAACATCAATTTTTTAATTTTTCAAATGTAATTTGTAAGGTAATACGTAAATCTGAATGCATATTTTGTAATTTTCGGTGGTGGGTCTCAGAACATCTTTTGCCGTATATAAGAAGCCAATTCTATTATTTCTATTTTTTTCTAAATTATTTTTCACAACTAGGAATCGTAAAAACTAGAAATAAATATAATTTTATTCATATTGTCTTATAAGTTAACTTTAAGCAAAACTTTTGCGGTTGAACTGTTTTTCCGGTCAGAACCTCAAAAGATCGTCGAAAATACTTTCAACTTTGAGAATTTGTACACAAGTCACATTTCATTTCTTTATTTAAAATATTCATATTCTCATGTACCAGCCTATGCCAGGTATCTTACCTTCTCGAACATTCCGCAAAAACAATTTCTTTCACGGAAAGATTCAAAAATGCAAGGCATTTGGCTACAATATTCTGATTCCTCCGTGGGTTGAAGTTTTTTCCGTTGCACGCTATCAGTTGCTTAGCGATTTTATGTTTGATTTTTGAAATTTCCAAATCATTTTCTAATTGCTGCCGTTGCTGTAAGGTTGTTTCGGAAATTTTCAGGTTTTTTTGGTTTTTGGAAGAATTCTTGTCTTTTCGCCCTTATTTCTTTGTAAGAGCATCTACTTTCTAGTGCTAAAGCCTCCCTAAAAAGTGCAATCAAGTAGATTTCTCATTGGCTAACAAGGTTATCCAAAAAAGTGCAACTGTTCCCACATATCCTGGATGGAGAAGGGAACTGCCCGCCCCCATCGCTTGAGTGAGTGAGTAGTTTCGGTGTTCGGCCGCACAGCTCGTCGGCTGCCACTTTGCTGCCAAAATGCGTCGTGAAAATTCCTCAACTCGTCTACTAATCAAAGATAGTAATGACTACAACTATAAAGTAAGCCACTAACAAGTACTGTAGGATTACTGTAGCTCGGAGCTGCAAGGACTAGCTTCAGAATGGTTTTATAGGGCTCATTAACTACTTTGAAGGCCCATTTATTAAAAATACCTTGAAAAAATCTATTTTTGGCCCCCCATACATGACCGGTTTTGCATCTTCTCCAGAATAATCTTCTTCCTTTTGCAGAGTCTCGAAATGGGGCGACCGGACACATTGGAGCCGTTGCGAGGCAAATTGAATAAGGACGAGTTTAGGTGAGTGGATTGCTCCAGATGTTGTTGAGAGATTCATTGTGGTATAGGCAATCTCTTTGAATATATTCATAAGTGGGAAGCTACAATAAGAAAGAAGATGCAAAGGAATATTCCTTAGGAAACAAGGCCAATTTTTCCAACTACTACTGAGAAAAATATGTAGCTTGAATCGCTGTAGACTGAAATATTTGAAATAGATTTTTTTTTTGTGGAAGCACTTTTTGACCATATTCTTATCTCTTTCAATGAGGAAGGAAGGAAAAGTGATTTCGAAATCTTAATGAGAGTTTAAGTAAGTGGAAAATGTGTCTGAAACAAATCCTATTTTTCTTAGTTTTGTTGAGAGTATTCTTTTGGCCTGGGGTGACTATGGCTGACTATGTTCGGTTTTTCAAAGCTAAGGGAAAAGGACTTGCTTAATGAATTTTGAAAAGTCGAAAAAAGTAATAATTTGTAGAAATTAAGAATGCTTCAACTATGCCAATGACCATGACCCTATCCTTCTCGTGCTCTAGACAGTCTTTGATTATATTTGTTATTTTATCTCTCTCAGTGGACAGGATGACTAAGTCTCATATGAAAATGAAAAAATGTAGAAAAAAGTTTTGCAGTAATTGAATCCATCGTATAAAAAGCAATTGCTATAAAGTCAATCGTTAGCGGCAACGACCTTCTCCTAGAAAAACCCAAATTACTTTAAAGGTTTTTCTTAAAAAAAACATAATCTCTCTTTCAACACAGAAGAGGAGGGAAGGGGACAAAATCAAGGAATTAATTATACTAGCATTTTAAATCACAGCTAGAGTCTCTAATCGAATTTTGTCATGATATTTACTTTGAAATTTGCTGAATATTCTCAAAAAACAAAAACTTCCGAAAAAAATTTTTGGGAAAATTTTCAGCAGTAACCAATCTCTTTCTATGTTTGATTATGTGAATTTCTTTCCGCCTTATAATATTTATAAATTTTAACAAATTATCCATATAAGGGACATTCATTAGGAACTCTCTTGCTTCTCATTCTCAAAATCAGCTTTGCCCTAAAAATATCATTATCTTGTCAGTACTCACATGAGAAATGAGTAAGTGCACATAAATGAAGCCTCAGATTGTAGTTCTTAAAAATTTGACGAGTTGTTGAAAGAAATGAAGCAGACGCCCCTCCCCCTCCACCCACTCTTCCAACTACATAATTTTTTTCTCTAATGAACTAACCATAAACAGATGAAAGTTTGCCTGACACTTCTTATTCTGTGGTTAGAAAACTTGTGACATTTATTATTCATTTTCCGCCTTCGATCATTCTAGAAAAGAGCACGCACTTGTGCGTCAAAGCCCTATAAAACCTAAACCAGTGCGCATAACTTCATGCCTCGTATTTCATGCCCACGCCTTGTCTTTGAGCAATTAGACTCTTTGCCCATATCTTGGGTAGCAAAAAAAAAAGATTTCTGGGTTACTGTAGGATTCGCGAGCAACGTCGAAAGGGCTACTTTCATATGAGTAGATGGATCACGAAATGTTGATTAGATTTACAATCTTGAGCACGCACGATGACAAAATATCATAATCTGTTATGCGCGAAATTTTTCCACTCTCAATGAAACCAAACAAATGGGCTGTATCGATGGAACACTAATAAAGTACAAAATAAATAATTCATGCTGTGACGAAAGCCTGAACAAAAAATGAGGAAAATAAAGGAAGACAAGAATGTATTTGAAACAATGTCCTCTTTTTTCACAGGAAATGCGAAATGCGTGAATAATGCGTAAGCAAATTATAAGGATTTTTTACAAGGCTACAGTATATCGAAAATAATTGGTAAAAACGACCCTCCTTGGGCAGGTGGATTTGAGGAGTAACCCCGCTATTGTTTTTCTGAAATCTTATGACCAGACGAGCAAATTGGTGATAAACACTTGGAGTTGTGGAATTTTGGCACCAAAAGATAGTCTTTTTTAGGCCGGATCAACCGCCAAAAATGCCTAGTGAAGTTAGTAGTGAAAAGATCTATATGGATATTCTTAAAGCATAGATTTAACCTGCAAATTAGAAATCAGAGGCATTTTTATGCGCTGATAATGTTCCTTGTCATAGTTAAGCACTCTGACGAAAGCGGGCACAAAAATCTTTTCCGGGGGCAGGAGTGGTGGACGCTACAGTATTTGTTTGAAAGAAGGAGCCGAAGGCTAATGTAAATTTGGGAGCCGAAGGCTAATGTAAATTTATAATTTCTTGAAATTTTTAATTATTCGTGCGAATCAACTTCTAAACTTTACAACTCATATACATCATATTACTGAAAAATATCTGGCAATATTTTTACCATTTCTCTTTTTTATTAGTGGATTTTGAACTAATTGAAGTGATTTTGCATTTGCTTACGTCATTGTTTCAAAAAAAATTTGAAATTTGTTACCCTTCCTTTTCATCAAAATTCTGGCCACTACTCATCAACTATTTTCAGCCCCGAATTGCTCGATGCTCTTGACGAAGTGGCCGATGATGAATCGCTGCTATTGGAAGCATGTCGTCAGGATAACCTATATCCAATCTACTTTGAGCACATAAATACTGGCCGAATGCAGGTACTCCTTTCAATGGGTTAATTATCTGGCCGTGCTCCCCTATGAGCGCCTATTTTCGTCCATAGTTCATAGCCTTGCCCTTTCTATGGACTAATTATGTCTTTTCACAGCTGCACTTGCTGGTGCCGTTTTTCGGGTAGAAATCAGACACCAAAAAACGATATACTCGTCCCTGATGCCAACTCGTCCACAAATTAACTTAATTACAGTACGCATTGTTGTTTCTGTTCTCGCTGTGTGTAGCGCAGACATTGCTGACGATTCTTCTTCAAGAATGGATCCTCTTAGCACTGCTCGTTGTTATTGATGTGAGTGCTATTGCTCAATGGGATTCTCCTTTTTTTTGATCTCTAAAAATTTCGGAAAATTCTATTTCCACCAAGAATTATATCTGCATACATTCAGGTTGTCGTATTGGGTTGGACTATTTTTCACAAAGGAAACTCGTACGTGCTCTCGTCTGTTGTGATTGTTTGCTCTGTGGTCAGTTCAGGCAATATATACCTCAAAAATACATCAAAAGTAATTAGTAAAAAATTATCTCAATAAGTACACAGCCAATAAAAATGATTCCTTACCAATAAACTTTTTGGCAGCAATGAGGTCTGAGGACCAGTTCGCTGAAAGTGTTACTAATCGCTGTTTCAGTTCTTTCATAAAAGTCGTTTTTCTAAGTATCTGAGTTTTGAAAGTAATGAGTAATTTTTGAGACAATTCACCAGAATAATTTTTATTTTTCATGAAATTTTTGCTATATCTCATTTGTGAATGGAAAAAGCGGAAATTCTGCTCAACATCATTCCCAGTAGTTTTTCTTCAATATGGAAAGGTGTGCTCCACACAAAAATTGCTCCTTGTCGCGTTGGCTCAAATATTAGCCAAATTTCAACTGCCTTCCTTTTCGGGTTCGTTTTTATCCTTTAAAAGAATTCATTCTTACAAGCTGTTGTCAACTCCAAAAAAATTCAGCATCTTTGTAAATGATTTCTCAGGCATGCAATACATATAGAAGCTTTCGCTAGAACAGTCCTTTTTTTGATGACAAGACATGAATTCGCACGTTCGTTAATTCTGTACTATAATGGAAATTCATCAAAATTTTATGATATAAAGGTAACCAAAAGATTGAAAAATTAGTAATTTTTGATATCAGTTGCTTATAGTACGCATGGTTGCGTGACAGCGTTAATATTGAAAAACTTTTCCATTTGTAAATAATTCCTGTCATTCATCACCACTTTGAAAAAAAAAATGTATTTTCCTTCAGGTTCTTCTCGCATGTGCACCATACATAGTACACTCATCACTTACAGTTCTAATACTGTTTCTTTGCTATACTCTACTTCCACTACCTCTTCTTCCTACTGTAAGTGACCTCTACCGTATCGCAATCTCCTGCAAATTTGATCTACCTCCATTTTAGGCACTGGCAGCAGCAGTTGTGTCGGCAACGGGTCTTTCCATACAAATTATCAATAATGCTAATTATACAATGGTAAGATTTCTCCAGGGTAGTTACAGCAAAAATCAATTAATCAATAATTATGTTTTAGCTTGTCTCGCATGCTATCCTCTTCTTTGCCATCAATATCGTTGGTTTTTTCGTGTTCTATCCAATTGAGCTGGTGCAAAGGAAAACATTTCGGGAAACGAGGTTGGTGTTTTTCCCCATGGAAATTATTGTAGCAATTTTAAATTGAGTGAGAACGAAACCTTCATTGGGGGGGGGATAACAGAGTCACAATTTGTTAGCTAGTGGGAAGTGCGAACGCTAATGAGCTCAGTTTTCGCGCAATTAGTAGAGAAAAAGACGAAATTAGTACAAAATCTCAGCTTTCGATAGAGGTTACCCAGTAGGGGAGGGGAGGGAGCTCGTATTTTTTTTCAAATCTACATGAGTTATAAAATTGTTCAGTGTTGTTTTTACTTGTGAATAATTTTGAAAAAGTTTTGAAAAATTTTTGAAAAATTAAGTTAACTTTGTAAAATCTTCCCATTTCAGGATGCAGGCCCGCAAAATTTTGAGAATATCATAAAGGCGTTTAGCGCCCAACCGCTTTATTAGAAGGAAGATTTTCGATGCCCTTCCCCCCCCCCCCCCCTCCCTTCCCAAGCTGATTTTTTTGAACTACCTCTAACTGTTAAATGGTTAATGTTAGAAAAAATTGACTGAGAAGGAACACAAATTTCAAGAATATCTATAGTTTCACTGCTAAAAATTTGCGATTCTAATTGACCATTCTTCGAGATTAACATTGATTTTACTATTAAATCTTCCACGGAACCCTTTATTTACTAATTTTTATTCCTTATTTATTGATTTATTGATTATTCCAGAAAATTCGTCGAAACAAGGATGATGCTGGTGCGAGAAATGGACAAACAAGAGAAGATTCTACTCTCCGTATTGCCGAAACACATAGCCTATGAGGTTTTCAACTTGATAAGAAAATGTTCGAAAAATCCCCTATGGTCTGAATAGGTCCTGCACAGAACATTGGTGCTTACCGTTTCGAATTTTAGGTGAAGAGCCATATGGACAAAAGCGAAGAGGGCTTGTTTCATAGGATTTACATCAAGAAACACGAGAACATCAGGTTTTTTGGGTACTTATTAGTATTTTTACCTTAAAGGGCTAAGTTTCAGTATCCTCTTCGCTGATATTTGCGGATTTACAAACTTGGCCTCGGAATACACTGCTGAGGAGTTGGTGCTAATGCTGAATGAGCTCTTTGCACGCTTCGACGCCCTTGCTGCCCAACACAATTGCATGCGAATTAAAGTGAGCTTTGTCGTCTAGATTCGTGGGCATTCTGAAAAAAATTCTTCAGAGGAAAGTGAAAGGGCAAAATTGCATTCGAGTCAACTCGTAACAAATTACTGTTTTTTACAATTGAAAAATCGATAACCAGCCGGTCAATAATTACAGTATCCGTAACAATTCGCAGAAATATACCTAAATAATTTTAATCCTTTAGTCCTCTAAAACTTTATGTGAAGTATACTTCGATTACAATAATAGTGACAGTTTCCTTTTTGAGTACTACTAGGTGTAATTTTACCATCTGCAAGAATAGCGAATTAGCGGGTATTTCCAAACGCCTTAAAGAAAAGTAAACGATTACAAGATTCTGAATAATATTATGCTACCGTATAAGTGGCGTCCAAGAAATTCTTCGAGTAGGTTGGGGGACCACAAAAAATTTTTAGTGAACGGCATGGTGGTGGCCATGCCCTTCAAGACTTGAAATTCTTATATATAGAGCTGAATGTCTGTCTTTCTGTATGTCTGTCTGTATGTCTGTCTGTATGTGTCTGTCTGTACGTATGTTCCGAATAGAAAACCATTTCTGAACCGATCCGGACCAAACTTGGCACGCATATACATCGAGCCCCGGCGGGTGTCATAGGCTATTTTTCGTCATCAATCGATATCGATTTTATCGATTTTTATCGATTTTTTGCAGAGGTTCCCCTACGGGGCTGGGAGTTGGCACAGGGGGGTAATCGAGCATGGGGATTCCGAATACAATATTAGTTTTTAAGATCGTCCACTACTTTTATCGATTTTATCGATCTTTTTGCAAAGTTTGACTTGCGGGGCTGGGAGTTTGCACAGGGGGGTAATCGAGCATGCTGATTACGAACACAATATTAGTTTTTAAGATCGTCCACTACTTTTATCGATTTTATCGATTTTTTTGCAAAGTTTGAGCAACGATGCTGGGAGTTGGCACAGGGGGGTAATCGAGCATGCTGATTACTAAAACAGCGGGAATATTGATTTGGCATGTAGGCGTGGGCACAGGGAAAGGTTCGTACAGGAATAGGGATACCGTTCTTTGACATAGTGTTTTGACAGGGCCGGGCGGAGCCGGGTAAGCCAGCTAGTACTTCATAAAATTTCCGCAAGTCTGTCCCCCAAATACCAAGAAAAGGAGGCATGGCTACAGCCACTTTCCCGAAAATATTTTTTCAGGGCTAATTTGGATCTTAAAAGCTTTTGAGAAACATTTATGTATGCGTATTTGTACAGCCCCCCCCCCCATTCCGCTGTTGCCGTAAATCTACTTTAGCCCCAAAATAAAGTGATAGTTTGGTTTTCGGAAACTATTAGGAGTGGAGAGATTTCCCTGCACATCAAGATAGTGGGTTAGAAGGGTTTATGTTAGAAGTAGATGATCACAAAATATTTAGTGGTTTTGCACTACCGTATACCTATGGTAGCCCCATAAAAAACTACAGTCTTAGAGGAGGATTGATTTTGTATGGATTGTGCAATAGCTTTCCTTACCAGATTAAGGTTACATAAACAAACAAAACGCTAACTTTTTTATTGTGAAACTTATGCAATACTCTTTTGTGAAACTTATGCATTGCTTTCTATGAGCCAGAATCTTTGAATCTGTTCCATCTTTCTAATCTTCGTCGTTTCTAGATTCTTGGCGATTGCTACTACTGCGTCAGTGGACTTCCAGATGTAAATCACTATCATGCTGCTTGCACAGTGGAAATGGGACTCGATATGATTGAGACCATCAAGTCAGTAATATTTGCTTTTATTCAAATATTTTGAAGAAATTCAAAGTCAACCGCGTGTTTACCATATTCTGTCGCTAAGAGTTTCTCAACTGCGCTTAGAGTGAACAATTCATTATGAATTGAGAATAAATTTTTTTTATGCATTATTCAAAAAAAATGAATTTCTTATAAAAAAGGAAAATCTTTTCAAATTCGTGCTAAAAACAGTATTTCGTTTGTATATCGTCTGTCTAGTCAGTTGAAAACCAAAACAGGGGCCTATTTTTATTTTTCCCAGCATAGACACTTGCGAGCAACCTAAACCATCCGCAGCTTATCTTTTGAAAATGGGGACCAGTTCTCGTTCAATGATTCACCATCCTTTGAAGAATGTACTACAAAGCTATGTGTTAACCACCCCTTTCAATTTATGCCTTTGCTGATATTAAACTTTCGCTCACTGAATTTAAGGCTGCTAAGACCTCTATCTTTTTCAAAAATTCAAAAAACTCATTTCTCATTCTAGAATATTCATCTTGTACATTTGTTCTGCTTGGTTGCTTTCATTTCTTCAGTTCAGCAAAAACGAACAAAAAACACAGTTCGCACACCATCTTTTTTCTTTTTGCGGAGGAAAAGAAAAAGGGGGTGTGCATCATATTGGATAGACCTGCGCTCTTTTTTCATAAAAATCTTCCGTGTTCACTTTTTTTTATCAATGCTTCCTCTTTTTTCGCCTATATTTTCTCTTTTTCAGACTTGTTCGAGAAATGACCCGAGTGAATGTAAACATGCGTGTCGGCATACATTCTGGAAGAGCTCATTGCGGAGTCCTCGGCTTGAAAAAATGGCAATTTGACGTCTGGAGTGACGACGTCACACTGGCGAATCACATGGAAGGCGGTGGATTGCCAGGGTGATCAAAAATGCCCAAATTTCCAAGTAAAAAATTTTCGAAAGGAAAATCCTTGTAGGAGGGTCCACATTACCAAAGCTACATTGGATGCCCTCAATGGGGAATACATCGTAGAAGAAGGCCATGGCGCTGAACGGTCGAAATATCTGGCTGATCACCATGTGGAAACGTTTCTAGTTGTGGAAGCAAAGAATAAATCGGTATCGGCCCATCCGCAAGCTCGATTGGTAAGCGGAATTTCATCCTTAGAGCAGGAAGATTCATTATTTTCTGAGTGTGGATCCCACATAAATGTCGTACTGAGCGCTTCCACTATGCTTGGTACTTCACGTTCATAGAATATTCATAAATCTTTCCAACTAAATGAATATTCTATGAGCTATGTGGATATCGTGTGCGAAATCATGGTTTCTAGAGGGATATATGAAAACATATGTTAAAATTGAAAAGGAAGTATAGTGCCATCAGTGGCACTTTCCAATTTTTTGAGGGACCTAGTCCTCGAATCTTTGGGAGCGGGGAGACATGGCAGCAGCTGGAATTTTGTTTGATGATAATTTGGGTCTTTAAAAAAAGGTAAATTTAGTTTAGTTATTGAAGAGTAGAACAAGTCATATGAGCAATGTACCTCATGGAGGAGTTGTAGCATCTAAAAAATTGTGAGAATTGTGAGAATTTCGCGACCTTACTCGCGGGGAAAAGGGGGGGGGGGGAGGCGGAGAAGCGGTCGGTTACGAGTGTTATGTGTTTGTAGGTGTAAAAATACCTCCATCATAATAAATGATATTTTTATGGCAATCCAGTTTTTTAAAAGCGATATTGACAAAACTTCATTTTTCTTGATGCGCGTACGACGTCTATGAGTCGGAATGCGCTTAATGCATATCAATTTTCTAAGAGTCGCGCCTACTATAAACGCGCATGCGTTCACTCATGCCAATTCCTAATATAAAAATTATTCTAGAATGATTGATCTAAAATGAAAGCCTATTTTACTTATTTTGTTACCGAATTTGATTTCAGAACGCAAACAAAGAGCTGCGTCTTACTGGCCATGCAAGCAAATTACAAAGAGGTCAAAGTCTACGGTCCGTCCTTTCTTTAGCTTTTCTTTTCTGAAGTCTAAATAAAAAATAGCTCTAAATATTTCAGGCAAGCCGTGAAGCCGACAAAACCGTTGAAAGATGACGTTGAAAATCATCTAAAACAAGGTATTCAGGCAATAAATAAAGAAAATTGGCGACAAACACATTGTAAACGTTTCACACTTGAATTCGAGAAAAAACATGTGGAGAAAAAGGTTGGTCCAAAGATTTTGCTGAAATATTCATCAATTGTTCTTTTTCAGTTTTTGGAGATCAAAGAGTCAGCACTGCTTGCTCAAATCTGCTGCTACTTCTTCATTTTTGTTTTGGCATGTTGGATTCTAATTATTGGAAAAATGAGGTTTGGGCATTTTTTTTTGTTTTTTTGATGAAAAAATTGAGTGGACCAATTACAGCAGTTCAACTATGTTCATTTGTATGAGTGTGGTGATCATAGCGCTCGTCCTTTTGCTCATCTACATAGCACTTAAAGCTTTTTTGGTAAGTGCAGCCTACTGAAAGTGAAATGAGATGAGCTCGTTAAGCAGCAATGAACAGCAGCTGTTGTTTCAGTTGAGAAATGCGAAACGAGGGGCGAAGAAGCTGAAATGTTCGCGGAGTGTTCGGATTTTTTTCATTTTCGCTATCGTACTGCTTGCACATTCCACAGTCATCAGCGTGAGTGATGTTTACTTATTCATCACCAGTCCAAAGCGCCGCTTCGCGGCGCTTTGGACTGGCTGTGTTTGTTAAGTGCGACGTGACTAAAAGTTAAAATCTTTGAAGTTTTAGCGAAGTAAAGAGTGAAATTTTTGGCCACGTAACGATCCAGAGGTTATCAAAGTCAATTTGCCACAAATCCTTGTTTGCATGGAGGTTTTTAGAAATTTCCTCAACAAAAAGCAGCAGATTTTTCAACTTCTCACAGCCTCATCTATCCGCACCGTTGTCCCGTATGTCTAAAATTTACTCAACTTGCGTTCTGCAAATTTGAGTATTGCTGTCTTTCCCAGGTTTTTTGAGCCAAATTCCCCTCCTCCTCCTTCCCTCCTCTACCCTCCAATCCCTTAGTTTATATAAACTACCTGAACTGCTCATCTTTTCTTGCATCCACACTTTTCGAATCTAATTCACTGTGATCAAAATGCAACTTACGTTTTACAGTCTGTCCTCATCCCAATCTGGCCAAAACTGGTATGACGGGCTTTGCAACGTCATAGTTTTGACTCAGTAGGCGATTAGGGGTGGTCGCGTTGGGCCTTGTTTGTTCCCCCATTTTCAATCTCTCGGGACTACTACAAACGGGGGACAGTCAGGAGGTACGATCGGCGCGAATTTTTCGCAAAGCGACGCCGCAACGTACTTCAGCCCTTACAGCAGCCTTCTGGCGCAGTCTTACTTATAGCATCAAGTTCATGTATCTGCCCCCACCCTCACCCCCTGTTTTTGCCGCCGGAATCTCTATTGGCGGGGAGTCTTGGAGGCCCCAAAATTTCTGCGCGGCGTCTGCGGAAACGCGGCCGCCGCGCCCGGCGTACCTCCTGACGTGCAGCCCTACAAACGCGCAAATGCAGCGCGAACTCTTTGCGCTGGTACGCGATTTCGGCCAACGTTACTTGATAACGATTGACACATACTGTACTTTCCAAAATTTCTTTTCCTCCCACATCTTGCTAGGATCCTCGGATGCTAAAACTTTATGCCGGAGTGTCCTTCTCACATTCGACAGACAACTCCCAGCCATGTACACTCCCGACTGTTCCCATCTGGTCCCTGCTCCTCACATTAAGTGTCCCTCTACTGCGGAACTTCCACTTCCTCTGAATGTGCTATTTTTATTTCTTCGCAAAACTGAGTCAAAGAAAATTTAACTCAACATTCTTGAATATATCTAGCCACCTTCCGAACTTCCAAATCCACAATTTCAGGAATCCAAACAATCCCTCTTTCTCTCCACAAAATTCTTAGAAGCGTGCAACCACTTCAGCTCCAAAACATTTGACTGCCAAAAGTCTCCTTTGGTTCTACAAACTGACCAACACTCCTGCACTTTTTTTCCAAAGCGCTCCAAAATCATTAATTTTCGGCTTAGTTTAGCAGGCTCCGGATGTTCTATGAAGATACTTACTAACAAAAGGCGTTTTAATTGGCAGCTGAAGCAATTTTCTTTGCTCATAAGATTTTGGGATTATGATATACCTTGAACCATGCTAAATTTTGCAACTTTACGCTTCTTATAGTATAGCTTTAATTGATGGTTAGTGAAGCCAACATTCCATCTTGTCTCTTCATAGCTGGGATGTTAGAGGTAGATTCAGTTAACATAGAGCTTTTCCAAGAAACTTTGGTCACGATCGCGGTGATGTGCTTTGAATACTCTTGAACTTTTCGGATTTGGAGGAAAATCCGAAAATTTAGAGGTAAAGTTCTTTTGTTAGTATGTACGCTTTCCTAGCTAGGAGAAGTCTTTGCATCCAAGTCTAATGAAGTTGCAAAGCTATTTGCGTCTCCACGCTGTTATTCTTTTGGGGGTATTGTTTCTTATACAGTCTAGCTATTTGAAAAGTTTAAACGGCGCTGGATGTCGATCGCAAAAGAAGCGTGCTCGCGCTTTAGTATAGTGTATGATGGTGAATTTTTCAAGACAGAACAAATTTGTTGTGGTTTCTTTAGAAAATACACTTGCTTAGCATTTCACAGCCAAATTTTGGAAAACTGCAACTTTCTTGCTGAAACTATCGAAGAATCGTGCTCAAAAATTGGAAAAAAATCAGCGAGAATTTGGAGCGGTTTGTTCAAGATGGAAAACCTTTGCCTTGAAATTTGATGACCTTTCCTAATGATGGTTTTGGCGCAGCTTTCGTAGGATGAAAAACTCCTAAGCACTTGATGAAGAATTGGGAAGACAGCAACTTTTTTAAAATATAGGCTAGCAAATCTTTTTGAATTGGAGATTTCAAACAAAGTGCGCTTGCAAAAAAATATCGAGTCCATGCTCAAGAAGTCAAAAATTTGTGAAAAACTTTCAAAAAAAAGGTCCGAATTTGGATGAGATCACACTCAAAAAATCAATGGGACAGACTACGCTCACCAAATACGGATTTGACGCAACTTCTTCACGATAGAAAACACAAAAACACTGTGGAATCGAACAATATGGTGCTTTTTTCTTTCAAATAAAAAAGTACTAATTATCTGATAGAAGAAGCCTAAAAACTGCAGCTTTTTTGCTTAAAAAATATTATGCATTTTGTGAACATATATGGTACGAAAAATATCGAAAACAGAGCTCTGAATTTTAGAGAAAGACAAATAGATTATTCAAGATTTGATTTGATGCAATTTTCTGAACAAACGCATCAGTGGTATTGAAACAAATTGTACATTTGGAGCTTAGATGCAATTGAGGTGCCTTCTGCGAACTTGTTGTTACATCAGTAAAAATAGTGTTGGGGAGTCACAAATTCTTTTTCAGAAAACAATTTTTGAGGAAACACACGCATGTGTGCCTCCTATACCATCTCAATACTTACACGATTACATCAACTTATGTGTATGAAGGAGCTTTTCGACAGTAAGGTGGTAGAAATTAAAAAAAAAGTTCGCAAGCTTCTCAGATATTTTTCAATCAGTTAGATTTTCATGACAATATTTCTGCACAAAATGACGCTCACAAATTAACGCCTTTGCTCGCAAAATGTTCATCTACTTTCAGGGCTATAAATAGCGTAACAGAATAATCAAGTTTTCGGACTACCTCGATGTTACTACTACCCCTGCTTCTTGAACTTTGTTTTGAGTTGGTAAGAAACACTTGAAAAAAGAAAAAAACGTGTGATGGATTTCTTTATATTGACACAAATGCAACGCTTGCGAATAGCAGATGGTTTTTATGTCAGATGCATGATTGACTTTGCAAAAGGAGGGATTTTCGGCGTTGAAATTAAACAATATGTGTTACAAAAAAGCCCGTCTCAAATTTTCAGGTACATTTTCACATGACAGCAGTTAGATTTCCAGAATATTTTTCGTATGACATTTTAGTGCAAACTATTGCCTTTTCATAAAACGTTCCATTTCTTCCAAATTGGTTGCAGAATTGCTGAATGAAAATTGCGCGCTTTTTGTTTTTTTCACCTGTACCTAAACCTATGTCGAAACTATCAGTGTTTTTAGCAATTATACCGATGTATAATTCTCATATGTAAATGCTGTTGGTTTTGCAAAAAGAGCTTTCCGAGTTGTCTATTTTGTTACAGAATCGCACAAAGCATAGGCCTTTTTTAAAATGACCTTCAAAGCTCGATTGTATAGTGCACACAATCGCGCTTGCTATTGTCCCGTGTGTGCTAATGTTTAATTTTTTTCTCAAAAAGGTTCGATTTTCATGTGAGTTTAAGGATTTTTTCATGCGAAGATGCGCTCAGCATGCCATTCGCTTCTTTTGCTTCATTCTTGTGGAAGGGTTTTTTCAGAGTAAAATTTGAAAATTTTCGATGAGATACGTTTGGAATGAAGACAAAAATGGAATGGTGCACAATAGGAAAATGGACAATGAGTAATATCATTTTGCTTGATTTTTGAGGAAAGGTTCAAATTTGAGAGTAAATTTTGGTTTTGCACGTAAAGATGCGTTTAGTGATAAAAACAATGATGATGTGGTGCACCAATTATGAAAGAATTGAGGAGATGTAATGCAGATATTTATGTTAAGTGTTATCACCGACCTGAAGATGCTATCCGACGTTTGCTTATTTTCGCAAATGAAGCAAAATGTAAAGCGGTTGAAATAAATCGACCGCTAACAGCGTTGAAGGCGACGGAATTGGGGTTGCACTTAGCTTGACGTCGTGATAAACATCACCGAAGCAGACGGGAACACCGAAGATGGCAGAAAACATCATACCATTGATGACGTCATAGGTTGCACTTAGGTTGAGTCGTAGCGGTAAACAGTATGGAAGCGGGCGAAAGTGCAAGAATTAACTCAGAGAACTGGGCAAACATCCTTCGCCGGTTGTTGACGTCGGATGGTCCCCCCTGCGCTTTATTATAGGGTATGATGTTATGGGCTACAATCTGCTGGGAAAAATTACCCGCATTCATCTTTTGCGGGAATGTCATTTGTTTCCTGAATAGATATGGCTTGATTGTGTTTGTATGAGATTTAAGGCATGACAGTTCAGATGAAAACAATATAAGAAGACGTGGCGGGGAGGGAGGGGGGGGGAGAGAGTGTTGCGATTTGAATCGATCTGTTGATTTACATACTAAGCACGTTGTTCTCGCGTCTCCATGATTGGTGAGCTTCTTGCATAGGCAAGTCATCGCGCGCAAAGACTGGACGCCGTCGCGTCTGACCAAGATAGTACGTGTTTGGGAGAGACAGCAGACGGCTAGACGGTCAAAAGTGCGTCTGATCCGAGAGACGCCGAGAGAATCCGCGATGGCGACTTGTCCCTGCGTGCGATGAATCGCCTATTTGCATCCTATAGAATGCTAAACAAGAAAAAAAAAAGAATTTATATGTAAAGGCTTTTGTCCGACAAAGGCGCAAAAGCACTACTAGTTGAGCGGACGTGAACGCGGCATGCGCGTATCTTCACCACTATAAACATTGCGCCTTATGCGCTCTGCGGCTAATAAACCCGCGTTGGTGCCCTCAGATTTGTCGCTTTAGCAACAAACAAGTCGTGCGGAGCGCGTGGTGTGTAAACATATATTCAATTACCATGACTTGAACATACACAATAACTGGAAGAATAACTTCGGATATCCAAACTTCAGTTTGGAGAGATACAGTGTTGGGGGGGGGGGAGGGGAGGGAGGGGGAGTGTTTCAGATTGGGTTACAATCCTCGTAGTTGGTCCATTGAGTATAGGATGGGCAATTGATCTATAAGTGTGTAACATTCGGTATCATAGTTTTAGCATAGCAAACATATCTTTTATCTAAAACTATAAGCCAAAGTAACTGCTAATTTTGCTAATGGGACACGTTTATTCTCATTGAGAAAAAAAACTCTTATGCTTCTGTTCTGCTCCGTTTATTTAGGTCAATAATCTTCTTTTCTCTCTCCTCCTCCTTCCACCAACAAGATTCTCAATCCCCATCATCTTCCTATTCTTTAGGCTATCAATCACGATCCATGTAACTTTGAATGCACAACAGCAGGTCCCATCCTCAGCAATTCCTCTTGTGTGGAAATCCCGACTGGACAAGTAGAGGTAAGCCAGTAAACCTTTTCCGACCCTGTTTTGCTTGATGCTCGTCTAACAATAAATTATTTACAGCTAATATTTGAGACGAGTTTATTACTCCTACTATCCATATGCGTCTACCTGGCATTGCTCTCCTCATCCAAGGTATGTGGGAGTTATTTTCGATCATAAACATCAACACGGTCTCGTATGAAATTCCCTCGAGGATCCTTAGGGCAACTAATCAGTGAAGGATAACATAGTTTCAAGTGCAAATTCGCGATGACGCTGATTTTGGCGGATTCATTATGTAAGTAGACGCTAGGCCAAGTTCACAAAAGGGCAAGCTGAACTTAGTACTTAGGGGAAGTGAGTAACGTCGAGGGGAGATCAAGGACGACGCAAGATTATCACGAAAAGTCACATCAAAAATACTTACGGGGGGGGGGGGGCAGTGTTAAATATTAAAAAAAGGGGACCGCAAGGGTATTTTTCGATTTCTTAGCAGTGACAATTTGGGCAATTTATGATCGTAGAAGATTTCAATTGTAAAAAAGGTTCCAAATGCGGACTGAGGAATGCGGCTAAAGGAAGAAAGGGGGTGACGAAGGGTTTGCGAGTTTTTTGAAAATGTCTTGATGAGTTGAAAAATGGAAAATTGCGCAAGTGCCAGTCTGTTCTAGATTGTATGCATTCATAACTGGAATATTCCTTCAAAGATGTTTTGCGCCTGTCGCGCCCTTCTCAGAAAAATTCTTTGACTGAAGGGGGAGGGGAAGGAAATTTCTCTCAAAGGTGGATCTTGGCCACGATCCTCGAAAAAAAGAGTTTGAGACCCTTCTCGACCTTTTTGCACTAAGGTTTTTTCTGCGAAGTCAGTTTGAATTTTTTTTTCAAATTTAAAAAAAATTTCAAAATTGTTTTGATTATTCGCAAGGAAAATAGAAACATTGCACATTTTTATGATTTGATTGAACACATTCAGAAATTTCGCAGTCCTCTCCACTAACGTCCATTATTGCAAAAAATCTTTGATAAATTTCTGTTTAAGATTTTGACAGCTATAATGCCCAGTTTAGGTTGGTATCGCTACCGTACTCAGCGTAACCGGAATCACACTGATGTGGCTCTTCCCTGATCCACAATTTAGCAATCGGCAATTTCATGTCTGGTTGCATAGAAATCAATTTTTCCATAACTTCACAATCGTTGACCAATTGGAGGCATACTGCAGGTGGGTTACTAGATCGTCTTACCGTAATATTACAGTATCAAAGCATGGTTTAGCGATGTATCACCAATTGACGATTTGCGCATCTTTTTCACTGTTACGGCAATTTTTGGAGTTGTGCTGATTATGATGCAGACTCGACGATCAGAACTAATTTCTAGATATGACTTTATATGGAAGCTACAGGTAAGATTCAGAAAACCAGTTAAGGGAAATAAAAAAGTTGAGATTTCTAGGCCCTCCACGAACAAGTTGAAATGAAAAAGAAGCATGCACAGAACAGAAGCATCCTAGAAAATATTTTACCCAGCCATGTCGCTAAACATTTCTTGGAAGATAAAGTAAACAGCAAATCTAAGGAACTCTACCATGAGGTAAGTAAAGGCTGAGTTTGCTTTTTTTAATGGAGGTAAAAAAATTGCTATGATTCAGGCTCGTGATTATGCATGCATAATTTTTATCACGATAACGGACTTCAGTAAATTTTACATGGAACTCGATGCAAATAATGAAGGAGTGGAATGCTTACGTCTACTGAACGAGATAATCTCTGATTTTGATGACGTAAGTTTGAATCCAAAAATTTTTTTCATGTTTAAGGTCTTAGTTGCGCTTTACATCCAGTATCTGGATAACATGGAAAAATTTATCAAATATTGTTTTTCAGTTACTCGATAGGGATGAATTCAAATGCATAGAAAAAATCAAGACGATCTCAACGACATACATGGCAGCTAGCGGATTATATGGAAAGGTAAGAGTGGTTTTTCAGTGCTGGCAGCGAAAACTGGTCCCCAACAGTGTCTCAACGCACTTGTACCTTACCAATTCGGTAGTTTTCCCCTAAGAGAAAAGAGTGTGGAGATGGTCAATGCGCATAAGGGATTGCATTTGGCATTTGTTTTTTTCTGCCATAAAGATTCTGTTTAATGAAATTTGAAGCTCTAAAATTTATCATACTCTTTCTTGTGGCACTATGGTGTTTGCTTAACTATATCTGCTCAGAGAGTGATATCAATTTTTAGACCGAGGACAATTCACATGTGGTCGCTGTAGCACGTTTTGCTCAAGCCCTGTTGGTGAAAATTCAGTCAATAAACGAGCACAGTTTTAACAATTTTGATTTACGCATAGGTAATTCTTCAGACCGGTATCTCACTCAAATTGGACTCTAAAATCCGTTAAGGTATCAACACTGGACCGGTGGTTGCTGGTGTGATTGGACTGATGAAACCACACTATGATATCTGGGGCAACTCAGTGAATGTGGCTAGTCGCATGGACTCTTCCGGTGTGCCTGGAAAAATTCAGGTAACAATGATTATCTACTCTTCATCATTCAGTAACTTCTTGAACTGTGAAGTGGACTGCACTTCAAACAAAAAAAGGAATTGTCATCATTTTGGTACATTTTGAAGATATTAGTTTCGTGTATAAAGTAACAATGGCTGTCACGATACTTTGTGTTACTAAAAGTATACCTATCTTAGCTCAGTATATATCTATACCTATTTTTAACGAGGGTGTGGAATATATAAAAAAAAACTAAATATAAAAAAATCAAGTATAAGAATGCATCAAACTATAATAGATATGAAGTGAAAGAATGCTGGGGTAAAAAAATTTTCCTTTTCCTTTGGAAAAAGGTACATCTTTTTTTCTGAAAGAGCAAGGAACACCCAATCTCAAAAGTTTACGAAATTAGGTTGAGGTCGTTCAACTATGGGGAATAAAACAAAGTTTTAGGTCACTGAGGAGACAAAAAGCATTTTGGAAAAGGAAGGATTTGAGTTCGAGTGTCGTGGAGAGATCAACGTGAAAGGCAAAGGACTAATGACAACATACTTTCTCGTCAAAGGCCCGTATGAAATTGTGGGAACCGTAAAGGACGAACAGGACCAAGACCAGAACCAAGTAGAAGAATTTGTTTGAACTTTTCGCTCTAAGTAGTGACACACATATCTTCTGTGACTCTCAGTGTTGACGCTCGTTTAGGTGCTATTCTCTGATAAATTGAGCCTAAATGCTTAGTAGTTTGTGCATGTACGTGATTACTTATGCTGTGATACTAGCAATGATACTGTTTCTGCTGTGTAGCCTTCTTTCTATCCTTATCTGTGTGTGTGTTTGCGCCGAAAGGCGCAGGTTTGATGTCGTTGTTGGCTCACGGGTTTTTCGGCTAATTGTGATCTGCTACGTTAACGTATCTGTGAGTGGCTTCTCTCGTTCCCTAGCAAATGCTTTAACCCCTTCATATTGCTATAGATCAATGAGGTGAAAGAATGTTTTTAAATGTTTTTTGACGTAAATGAAATCAAATGCTATAACTTCATGTGATTGCAATAGATTGTTGAATTCGCCAACTTTAATTCCCATCCAGCACTTTTTGCTCTTGAATTTCAACTTAGCATTATCGCTTCTAATCGTTTAGGAACGTTCTTCGACCTTTCACAGAAGTTGATTTGGAAAGCATTCTCCATTTTTTGAGGACATCGTAGGACCTGAGTTCGATTTCAGAATTTGTGAGTGAGAAAGTCTACCACTCAGGAGAATTTCACTTGATATGATATTTTTCGACATGCCAGCTCCTCTTTCCAAAGTGCTGAGAAAGTAGTTGGGCTTATATAGGTCCGGTTTTTGAAATAAGCGTTGGCAGTAAGAGCTTTTGAAAGTTGTCCAATTCCAAATCTCTTTCATGAACTCTGTTTACTGTTGAAGGAAAACGTGTAACATGACTGCCTGCTTTTGGAAAGATGAGTTCGCTTTGGTGACACAGTTTGAAGCTTGCAGCTCATTGGGTTGCGGCCGACTCAAAGATCGTACTAATGGAGAGCGTGTTCTACGCTGGAGGTAGCAACTTATAGTGTAAATGGCTTCCGAGTCTTTACGCAGCCTCTTGTCAACTGGGCTTTGGTAATTGATTTATTTTGGTCGATTGGGAACTGGTGAGGTTTTATAGCCCTTACTGCCTTAACCGTAATATATCTTTCCAGCTTGGTGGAGTATTGAGTTAGCATTCACCTGAAAAAAGGGCTTCATGGCATTCTAAATAAACTGGTTTATACAGGGCTTTATCTTTGTTTCTGAAGAAAACTATGCTTAAAATTTTAAGCTTGAACTACGCGCGCTGATCTAAGTCTCCATTTTTATGTGAAACTCAAAGTCTGAAATCGGCTCTAGCATATTTTGAACCCAGCAGGATGAGTTGCTTCTAGTATTATATTGCACAATAGGTCGTTCCTGACCACTCGGACGCTGGCGGTACACCTCAAACTGGATTTGAACCTTTACTTAAAATAACAAGCAACGAATAAAATGACAAATGTGCCAATATTCTAATATACTGGCACCAATTGCAATCTTGTCAATTCTCCTTTGCTTAGAGAATCAATGTAGCCTTGAGGACATCGACTTGCGACCCCTAGTGATGTTTGTGTATGATATGCATCTTGAATTACTTTGCTCCGCCTATTAGGAGCAGTCAATAACAGCCCGAATGAGGCATTTTAATGTCTCAATTAAGCTTGTATAAGCTAGTGTGTATTGTAACGCACAGGATCCACTCCGATACCGGCTTCTTTACCATAAGATAACCGATACAACTTAGGCTTCATCTAAGACTGGTAAGCCTAAGAACATGTTGCAATTATATTAGGTTGAACCGAAAGTTCTGTCGCACCATTTTCAAAAAATCATAACTTCTTTCGGTCACGACGATTTTGCGCAATTCAAATTTTATCTGAAAGCGTAAAGCATGTAGTTTCCAAATGCTCCCTAGGGAGTTTCCGACATGCTCAGGTGGCAGAGATAAAAATGAAAGAACGAGATCATTAGAAATTCGGAATTTTTAAGCAAGAATTCTAGAAATTCAGAAACAGTGCGATAAAATCCAAAAAAGCATTATCCTAATTTTTCTTACATTTGATTACTATCTGAGTCAGGTTTGTGCTGATCGAGCCCTTCTTTCAAAAGTTATGATTTTTTGAAAAATAATGCCGAAAAATCAACATCCTAAGAATTCTTAATAAATAGATTTTTTGGCATTTTTTTTCAAAAATTCATAACTTCTGAAAGAAGACCTCGATCAGCACAAACTTGACTCAGTTAGTAATCAAATGTAAGAAAAATTAGGATAATGGCTTTTCCGGATTTTATCGCACTGTTTCTGAATTTTTAGAATTCTTGCTTAAAAATTCCTAATTTCGGATGATCTCGTTCTTTCATTTTTATCTCTGCCACCTGAGCATGTCGGAAACTCCCTAGAGAGCATTTGGAAACTACATGCTTTACGCTTTCAGATAAAATTTGAATTGCGCAAAATCGTCGTGACCGAAAGAAGTTATGATTTTTTGAAAATGGTGCGACAGAACTTTCGGTTCAACCTAATAATAAACTAGTTGGCAAATCCGGCTCCGCCCGGCCCTGTCAATAACATATTTGTAACCAGCATGCTCGATTACCCCCCTTACCCCCCCCCCCCCAGCCCCCAGCCCCGTATCTCAATTTTGCAAAAAATCGATGAAATCGATATCGATCAATAACGAAAAGTAACCTATGACACGCTCCCCGCCCCGAAGTATATGTGTGCCAAGTTTGGTCCAAATCGGTTCAGAAATAAAAATTCTATTCCGCACATATTTACATACATACAGACAGACAGACAGACATTCAGCTTTATCTAATATATAAAGAATCGTAAGCGCAGTTTAAAAATGTGCAAATAGCGGGAAACCGCAGTGCGGTCCCGAAGCGCGCACCTGACACAGCACCTTTAGATTACTGGTTCACTAGTATATAAGACTGGACGATAAATAGTGCAAATGATAGGTTTATATGAAGAAATGCGAAGGTTATATGACAAAGGAGAGGAAAAACTGCGTTTTGACCGTTCGACCCAATTGGTCATCCAATAGAAGATGTGAGAAGAAAGGATAGTTTATAGTAATTTTAATGGTATATTTGTATCAGATTTGTAAATTATATTCATAGAAGGTATGGTATAATAGTCAAGAAAGATTGAAGAGAAAAAAGAATTTTATGTGATACAACACTACTTATTTGATACATTTAAGACCACCAATTAGGTTTTCAAGTAACAATAGAATGAAATCAATTTGATTGTGTCGTAGTATTAACGCTATTGATAACGGTTGGTTTCATTTTATTCGACTGCTGCTTCGAGAGGCGGTACGTTTTCACGAAATCAAGGGCATGACGCACGTATACACCGCGATTTCCCACCCAACTTCTCCATCGTCTTCACTATGCTCTACCGCCCGCGGGGTGCAGGTGAATGATGCCGACGACACCTCGGATCACTCCTGTGCGTGGTCTGCACTGTCTCTGGGTGTAACCATGGAGGGACATAATATAAAGGAAAACGGAATAATCAAGGAGAAGGCTAATGAACGGGACCGACTAACCATGACGAAGAAAGGCTCCACGGTGCTAGTGGAATGAGTTGGAGGACCACCACTCTGCACGATGAATTGTGGTCCCACTTCACATAGTGCCCATTCGTGAAATGTGGTCCCACATAGTGCCCATCCGCAGTGCTAACTGCATTCACCGGGTTTGGGTACAGAAGTGCAGAGCTTCTGTGTACACCATCCACTGCATCAAACCATTAGTTGACTGGGTGATTGATAGCGAAAGTGGAAGTTTGTATTATCATAGATGGCAGAAAATAAATTGTCAGAAAAGGCAAAATTCGAAATTTTCCAAGAAAGAATCGACAGAAAGTCTTTGAAAGATTGGATAAAGATTAGTGGGCTAGACAACGTAATTGGACGACTTCGGTGAAAAGCTTGAGTAAAGAGTATATAATTTGCAGTGGTTTAGACTTAGCCTTATAAACAACGTATCACGATTCGCGCTGAAATAAAGAATAACTGGTATTCACTAACTGGTAACTGGTACTCATGGCTTACGTATGCAGGAAAAACAGCTAAAAGGATGGCTATAAGGGTGGGTTAGCTGGGAATTAAAATATTAGGCATAATTTGTTAGTTAATATATTATACATGTTATATAATATGTGTGTTAAGGCAAGGATCAGCTATAGTTTCTGGAAGTTCTTTATAAGTGCTGGAAAAAAGAAGTTGTACGATTACAACCAACCAATGGAAAAATGGTCATAATTAATCTGGAAAAATTACCAGACTTTATTAAGCAATTTCATGCAGGCCTAATCAATATCACATACCATTAGATGTACATCTACTACAAACAACCGACTTAGTTGAATAGTCTACCAAAATGACTAATATCATCTATATATAAAGTGTTCGTCAGTAAGTATGTGGCATAGACTCTTTTGTTTGTGAACCGATTAGACTAAAATTTGTCCCTCTATAAATAAGGCACGGCGCACAAGATAGGCTAATTTTTGCAACGATTTATGGGGCCCTTCAATCGATTTATTGATTTGTTTACTTACATCAAGAGTTCACCAGCGTTGTTGGATCATTTCCTCATAGTCATGTAAGTCGGGCGGTAAGTTCATTTACATTTCTCTGCGAAAAGGATCGAAGGATGTCTCAAGTCAGCAAGGAAGACATATCACAGTTTCGTCGCAGATACTGGAAGAGCGGTAAGTCCCAACGCGTTTGGGATCAAGTAGCCCAATTCTCGGGCGGGACCGGGGACGCCATCTAGTAATAAATAAATTCAATACAGAACACTAGCATGTTTCATTTTATCCTTAAATCTACCAAAAAGGTCACTACTATATAGTATAGTATATAATTTGATATATACTATAGATGTATTATATATACATATATATAACAATTGACGGAGCACACAAACTGTAAGTAATTAAACTTCAACTATTTTAACAACTTTCAAAATCTTATCAAAAAAATATTCGAAAAAATACGGACTCATGAACTATCCTTCCTTAATGAGGAGTTCCGGGGAGAGTTCTGAGGTCCTTTACTCCGTCTAAGGTAAAGAACGAAACTTAGTGTTCAAAAGAATTTCTCTCTATTTATCATAATTCTATAGTGCTTTGCCCAAACAAGACCGATACAGTGCTTTGCTCTTAGAGCAGCACAAGGGTTAATTTAGCCTAACCTTAGGACTAAGTTCCCTGAAATAGGTGCTTTGCTCCTAACAGCAGCACAAAGGCCAGCTAAGTCTGACCTTCGGTTCAGCTTCCAAAGCCACTGCTCTGCAAAGGCAGCTCACGACGCAATGGACACAATCAGCCCCGAAATTTCGGAATAATGCGAACACTGCTAATAAAGTCAAAATTTGTTAAAGCTTGAAAACAAACTGAGATTGACAACAAAGATTCCACTCGAATACTACAGAGAGGCTATTTTGCAGCGCTCAGAAGCGCTTACAGGCCTAC